AATATCAGAAAAAAAACATAGGCAGAACACTCTGACATAAATTGTAGCAATATTTTGGGGGAATCTGTTCTAGGGCTTCCCAGGTGCCACAGTGGGAAAGAACCTTCTTGCCATGCAGGAGATGTGAGTTCAATCCTTGGGTGGGGAAGATCCTTTCAAGTAGGAAATGGCAACCCTCTCCAGTATTCTTGCTTGGAAAATTTCATGGACAGAAGCATCTGGCAGGCTACAGTCCATGGAGATCACGTGACTGAGCTACTCAGTCTCTCCTAAGTCAAAGGGAAAAAAAAGCAAAAATAAACAAATGGGACCTAACTTAAAACTTTTTGTAGCAAAGGGAACTATTGACAAAATGAAATACAACCTAGAAATGAGAGAATATTTTTATAAATTATATGTGTGTTAAGGTGTTAATATCCAAAATGTATTAATATTAATATAAGCAGCTCATACAACTCAATATGAAAACAATCCAATTAAAAAGTAAGCAGAAACCATTTTCAGGGCAGCAAAGGAGACACAGAGAGAACAGACTTGTGGACACCGGGGAAGGCGAGAGTGGGATGAATTGCGAGTGGCATTGAAACATATACATTACCATATGTAAAATAGGAAGTTACCAGGAATTTGCTGTATGATGCCGGGAGCCCAAACCAGGTGCGCTGTGAACCTTGAGGGGTGGTATGGAGTGAGAGGTGGGAGGGAGATTCAAGCGAGGTGGGGGGAGGGAGGGATGTGTATATACCTATGGCTGATAGATGTTGATGTATGGCAGAAACCAACACAACATTGTAAAGCAATTATCTTCCAATTAAAAATAAATTACATGTAAAAAAAACTGAGCACAAAGCCTCAAGAGACATTTTTCCTAAGATACACAGATGGCCAACAGGCACATGAAAAGGTATTTAACACTGCTAGTCATCAGAGAAATGTAGATTAAAATGACAATGAGATATCGTGTCACATTCATCAGAAAGGCTATCATCAAAAAGAAGAGGAAGGCAGAAGAGAAAAGTCAGAGTGAAATGTGAATATGGAACATTGCTGGCTTTGAAGATGGAGGAAAGGGACTAGATGCTAGAAAAAGCTAGTGAACAGATTACCTTCTAGAATTTTCAGAATGGAATACAGTCTTCTTAACCCCTTGATTAAGTGACACATATGCAAGAATTTTGAATTACAAAACTATAAGGTAATAAATTTGTGCTATTTTAAGCCATGAAGTCTATGATAATTTGTTTTAGCAGCTATAGGAAAAAAGTATTCCGCATCCAACAAAAAAAAGGGGTATTTGTATTTTTTAAGAATATATGGACATCTTAACCCATTATTGAGGAAATCAAAAGACTACATTAATTCAGTCACATATAATATTTATATTACTTATAATACAAATATACAGTATTATAAACATATAAAGTAGTTCCATATGAATGTATAGATTCCATGCATTCAAGATAAAAACTCTGAGTGTGTGTGTATGTGTTCTTGTAAGTTCAGAAATTGCTTTTAAAGCTATCATGGTAATGCAAAGTGTCAGGAATGGTTAAAAAATTTTGGAAGAAAAAGATGGAACACTTATATTCTAATATCAAGACTAGAAAATTTTAAGTGTAAAGAAAAGTGAAAGCGTTAGTCACTCACTTGTGTCTGACTCTTTGTGACCTGATGGACTGCAGCCCACCAGGCTCCTCTGTCCATGGAATTTCCCAGACAAGAATACTGGAGTGGGTTGCCATTTCCTTCTCCAGGGGATCTTCCCCACCCAGGGACTGAACCTGGGTCTCCCACATTGCAGGTAGACTCTTTACCAACTGAGACATCAGGGAAGCTTTTAAGTGTAAACCTACAATATTTATGCAAGTTTATACAACTAGAATAATTAATGAAAGCCAAAAGTAGGGGAACATTCTTAGACCTATGAGAATTCTGTCTCAACAGACAGAATTTTCTAGATTGAAGCTCTCAGGGATCCAATATCCACAGTGTACTGAAACCATCAAACTTCATTCCATCTCAAGGGAGAGGAGTTAATATGTTTGATTTTATTCCTTGTCTGGGAATGGGAAATGGAGGGGGTATAACTTACGTTCTCTCTCCTGGGGATATAAGAAAATGCATAAATGTTTTCTTTCATCTCTTTCAGAATCTCTTCCAGCCTAAAATTTTGCTTTAAATGGAAACTTCCCACTACTTCTGTGAAGCAAGAGACAAGACAGAGTTTGGTGAGTTGAAAACTATAATCAACTAGAAAGAAGAAAAATGCTACACTGGCTCTGTGATTTTATCAAATAACATAGCCTTGAGTTTATCTAGTGTCCGAGTAGAGGCTGTGCCCTGGAGGACATGACTCTGGGAGGAAGATGTTCCCAAGTACTGTGACCGGTAACAGCAGGGGATTCATAAGCAAAGAAGACCTCTCTGGGTAAAAGGCTGAGGTCAGTCAAATGATTTTGACTAAAGCAGCAGACCGTGGTTTGGATGTTTCTTTTTTGACTCCCCTTTGTAGTTTTAATGATTAGGGGTTTATTTTCTCCTTTTATTATTATTTTTTTCCCTGTGACCCTGACAAAATGTGCTTCTTTTCAGGAGGCAGTTAGTCTATCCTCCAAAGGACTGAGTTGCAATCTAGCTTAAATTTAGTTACATTTTTGAGCTTTCTTGGTCTATTTATTCTTCATGCTACAAGAGATGATGTCACCATCTTTTTAAGGGAGGATTTTGCAAGGTCTGTTGTTCTCTTTATTCTAAAAAGTTCAGTGCCTGTAAGAATTCAGTCTGCATCAGATCTGGAGGAGTAATTTAGAAAATATATTCTTGGGCTTCCCTGGTGGCTCAGTGGTAAAGTATCCACCTGCAACACAGGAGATCCGGGAAGATTCCACATGCCCATGTGCCACAACTATTCAGTCTGTGCTCTAGAGCCCAGGAGCTGCCGCTATTGAGCCCTTGTGCTGCAACTGCTGAAGCCCACACACCCTAGAACTCATGCTCCACAAAAAAGGAAGCCATAGCAATGAGAAACCCATAGGCTGAAACTAGAGAGTAGCCTCTGCTCTCCATAACTAGAGAAAAGCCCATGCAGCAACAAACACCCAGCACAGTGAAATATAAATAAATAAAAGTATAATTATTTTTTTTAAGTAAAGCAGCTTTAAAAAAATAGAATATATTTAAGGGGCAGAAAGCTGTCTTTGGACAGTGGAGACTAGTTACATTCTTCCTAAGTAGATGTTTTGTTCACTTAGGCTAATCCAGGGCTTTTGCAACAACCAAAACCATCCCTTGTGAGAAGCTCACTATGTAAAGCTTTGAGCAGGAGTAGGAAAGAGATATCTCAAAATTCTACATGGCTCAATCCACTTCTGCCTCCTTGTGCATAAAACTCTAGAAAACTGACAAATACAATGATATAGACCTGTTATAGCTTGTCCACAAAGTCCACTTCCTTCTTTAAAAACTTTTTGAATGACTTTGTAAATATGTGATGGAGTGTAAGAACTAAACCTCTCCAAAACTGGCCTAAAGATGGCTCAAGTTGTGCTGGGCCTTTCTGATGCTGTGCTCCCTGGTAACAATGTTACTGATTGTCTTTTCAAAATTACTTTATAAAATAAGTCACAGAATAGAGTTAAAACTCAAAGGATATTTCTAATACAAAAGTCATCTTAAAGGCCGGCTCTATATGGGTAAAACAGAATTCCCAAAATGGATTTGCAGTTCCAGTACTGGCAGATTAGAAAATGAAAACACTGGTCGAAACTTTATTAGTCTTTATTTCAACTCTTGGAGGTGAAAATCTCCTCCACTTGACTTCGCCTAGGTTAAGTCACTCTGACTGATATCTAGAATGGAGGCATTCCCGGATCACCGATGAGGAGAGGTGTCTCCCCAGTTTATGTCAGGAAGCAGATCCCCCAAAGCTTAGGGCATTGCCGCTGAAGTCATAAATTATCCTCTGAGCTCACTGCTCTCTATCTGAGTCACAGAAATGTTGCTCATTTGTCTTGTGCATTTCCTGACAGATGCCTTCTCTTATGGGCTTCCCAGGTGGCACAGTGGTAAAGAATCTGGCTGCCAGTGCAAGAGATATAGAAGACTCAAGTTTGATCCCTGGGTTGGGAAGATTCTTTGGAGTAGGAAATGGCCACCCGCTCCAGTATTCTTGCTGGGATAATCCCATGGACAGTGGAACCTCATGGGCTACTGTTCATGGGATAGCAAAGAGTCGGACATGACTGAGTACTCATCCCTTTTCTTAATATTCTTAATATTTTATATTAATAATTAACTAATATTAATAACTAATATTCTTAATATTTTCTTAACATCCCAGTAAGCATACCTTAATCTGAACTGTATTTCAATCTCTGTGTAACAAAGTTCCCATATTACACACAATACTAGAATATGTCCTTTCTTTTTCTCCACCCCTGTCATTATTTTTCTGCTACTTTATTGAAACACCTCAGCTTATTTTATCAAATCCAGTGTCTAAGACATAGTATTTGCTCCTTATAGGTCAGTTACTCCTTTTTTGTCTTGTCTCACCCCATTTAATAATTTTAATATTTTTCTATTTTCCTCTCTCTCTCCCTCATACATGTCTCCTTCTTTCTCCTCATACATAATTTATTTCTTCATTTGAACCTATGCCTATCCTAAATATTCTCCATTGGTTAAAGGGACATGGTTATTTAGGTTTAATCATATGAAATTGTTGACCTACAAAAATAACTATTTCACATGGCTTATTAACAAATGCATAAAGAAATGAAGTGGGGCCAATGGCAAAGCAAAGTGGGCAATAACAAGTCAATTCTACAGATACTAGTTTGTCCTGGGGAGAAGGTACTTCTCATAGAGGAACGCTGAATGTGACAGCTGCTCTCAACAGTGCTCACCACCAAAGTGGAATTGTTATCTTTCATGTTGTATTCTGACAGCTGATTTGTCCGCAGGGCTCAAAAACCAGTGGATCCCAGGCTGAAAAGACCATGTATAACTTGAGCTGTTACAATCCCGGTTCCTTTATCCTTGCTGGAATACCTGGCCTGGCGAAGTTTCACATCTGGATTGGGATTCCCTTTTATGTCATCTATGTTCTGGCTGTTGTGGGCAATGGCACCCTCCTCTACCTCATTGTCATTGAGGACAGCCTCCATGAGCCCATGTTTTTCTTCCTCTTTATGCTGGCCACCACGGACCTCATCTTGTCTACTGCCACGGTGCCCAAACTGCTCAGTAACCTCTGGCTTGGCTCCCAGGAAATAACTTTCACTGATTGTCTCACCCAAATGTTCTTCCTCCACTTCAGCTTTGTAGTGGACTCAGCCATCCTGCTGGCCATGGCACTGGATCGCTATGTGGCCATCTGCTTTCCCTTGAGATACACCACCGTCCTGGCTCCTCAGGTGATTATCAAGCTTGTGCTGGGCATTGTTGTGAGGAGTTTCTTGGCCATCTTGCCAGATGTCTTTCTGCTGAAGCGGTTACCCTTCTGCAGAACACGAATCTTCCCCCACACATACTGTGAGCATATAGGTGTCGCTCAGCTTTCCTCTGCCAACATCTCCATCAACATCTGGTATGGATTTTCAGTGCCTGTCATGACTGTTGTCTCAGATGTGATCTTTATTGCTGTCTCCTATATCTTCATCCTCCGTGCTGTCTTTCATCTCTCATCCCAAGGTGCCCGCCAAAAGGCACTCGGCACCTGTGGTTCCCACATCTGTGTCATCCTCATGTTTTACACACCTGCCGCCTTCTCCATCCTTGCCCATCGCTTTGGGCACAGTGTACCTCGAAATATGCTCATTTTATTTGCCAACCTCTACGTGGCCATCCCTCCCACTCTAAATCCTATAGTGTATGGAGTGAAGACCAAGAAGATCCAGGACAAATTTATTCTCCTGTTTACTTTGAAGAAGACACAATGAGTCTTCATTGTGGGGAGCACCACTGAAGGAGAAATTTAGGCAAAACTGATAAGATAAAATTTTACATAACATGGGAAGACATAAAATAAAGTTATAACTACTATTTATTTGAAATTTTAGAGTTCTACTCATGTAATAAACATATAAGCAGGAGGGAGAAGGGAGAAGTAAAGTCTTTGGGACTTCTAGAAAATCAAAGATTTTTTTGATTTAGCTTTTCTCACCACTTGTATGGAGAAACTGATGATGGGTACAGAACAGCAATAAGAGTAAGTTTTATATATTTCCTATTCCAAGTTTTGAGATTTGATAGCTAGATATTTCCTAACATGCAATCTACCCCTGTGTTTCCCAGTTTTTTAATCAAAGGCAAAGCCTCCTGTCTTTTTAACTAGCTATTAATTCTTTCTACTACAACTAACAAACTTAGGGCTTCACACTTCAGTCTTGATTCTAACATTATTAATCCCTCCTCCTCTGCCCTTTATTGATTTACTTTGCTATTTTCCCTACCAATATTAGATTACAAAAAGTGGATTATCTTTTATATCTATTTTCTTCAACTGAGTGCTCCAATAAAGTTTTCACTGCCCTTGGCCCATATTTTACAACTTTAATTTAATTTATAATAATTATATTTAACTTAAAAATTTACATTTGAATATTTAACTTAAAATTATTTTGAAAATATATTTAATTCAAAAATAATTTGAGAGAATATTAATTTATTTCACAGATGAGGAAACAGAAACATGATTACCAAAAGACAAAGAGAGATTTAAGATCAAAACCCAAGTCTGTCTGATTCTGTGTTCTTTATCCTATTGCTTCCTGGATAGCTACTCACTGAACTGGTTCACAGTCTTCTGAAACTTAATTTTCCAAAACTGACCTAGAAATTCAGTAGCTTTCTCTATAAAAAGTGTTCTTCCTTTCCTGTCTTTCTGTACTGGAAATAACACCACTTCAAACCTGAATTCCAAAGCAAGGTAACTGTAGTTTGTCTTTCATTTTTTCTATGTCACCATCCAACAAAATGAACTCAATATTTGAGTTTGAAGAGCTTAAAAGCCATTACAGTGTGTATATACATCACATTCTCACCTTTATCATGGCCAGCTACTTTGGACCCTTATCTATTATTTGTCTCTCTTGAGAGCCTTTCAAAATCATCCTTTTAAATGAGTTCCAACCCTATTCCATCCAACCCACTTTCTCTATAAAAGCCAAAGTGTTCATTTTACAAGTTAAATATGATTGTTTCACTATGTGCATTGAAACTCTTCAATTGTTCCATCCTTTAGGTCATGAATAAGTATTGTCCTTAGGATCACTTCAGGGAATGGAAGACTAACAGAAACAGCAGTCTTCCATGAAAATCAGAACCTTGCACTTCATTCACACTTTATGTTTATTTTCATTTCATTTGCACTTCCCCAACTCTTGACAAGTAATTTCAAAAACGTTGGTTTTTTTCTTTTGGATTGTCATACTCAATATTCTGTTATTTTGCAAAAAAAAAAAAAAAAAAACTCATTGTGGGTAGAATGCATGTTGGGTAGGAGTCATCCATTCTCTAAAGAAACTGTCCCAGGATAAAACCGACTGTTCTGAAATCTCAACTTAAAAAGAAGCCATGCTTTAATCAATATGAACAAATTAAATTCCTTAGGAGTAAATAAGAAGTAAAGAGTGAAACTGGAATTCTAAAATAAGATCCTTTGTGTATGTGTGTGTTGACTTTTTTTCTTTTTGTGTGCAACAACCTTTAGAGAGTTTAGAAGAGACACATGCAGGGACTGTTTTATTCATAGCAGTCTCATAAACCATCATACTTATTTGCTTATTATTTATCAATCTATTCCTATATTATGAATTCCTTGAAGGTAGAAACTTAGACCTAGGCCTCTTCTTTCACCCTGTCTTTTTATAAAAATACCTGACACTCCATGTGTTCTCAATAAAGGTTTCATGCATACACAAAATTCATCAGGAACCCTTTCCTCCATGCCATTGTCTCTTGCTTTTCATTTCTCCTCTATCCAGTTTAGATTCCATAGTGTATCATTTTAGTTATCGTTTATCTTTTTTTTTTTTTTAAACATTTATTTTTTATTTATTTGGCTACATAGAGTCTTAGTTGTGGCATGTGGGATCTAGTTCCCTAACCAGGGATCGAACCCAGCCCCCTGTATCAGGAGCGCAGAGTCTTAGCCACTGGACCACCAGGGAATTCCCCGTTTGTTTATCTTAAATGCAATTTGTCCTAAACTCAACTGTTTCTCTTACACACTCAGTTGACAAAAAATATTCCAGAAAAACAAAGTTACCCCTACATTTTGAAGAAGTTGGAATAAATGATCCCACTGGGCACATTGATACTACTGTTAATAAATTATGACAATATACCACCATACTTGCTGAATTTCAGCTTCTCAGATGTATCAGATTCTTCTTGTCTCTTCTACCTGTGTTTCCTCTTTATTCTTTGCTTGGAAATTCCTTTTCAGGCTTCAGTTGAAAATCCTTCCTCAGATATGCCTCCTTTAACTCTGTGTATCAGATTGGTATCTATTGTATACATTCTCATTGCACAATGTCCTTTTTATTTCAGGACTTATCACAAGTTTAATAAGATGATTGCTAGTACACATAACTATGTCATTGAGGACCAGGTTAGTTTCTGCATTTTTTTAATCACATTCCTATCACTTGCAAAGCTCCTAGTTATTACAGGTATGCAATAAGTATTTGCAGAAGAAAAGAGTTGAAGCATGATTTTTGCTTAATGAATGAAATCCCTATTTTGCATGATGGGAGTCTACCTGGATGTATGTAGTCACAGAAAAAGACATTTTGTCCACAGTAAGGTACTAGCTGTTTTTCCACTTATTCCTCAAAGCTCTTCTTTAATCTTTTCCAAGTTATTACTTTTCCATAGTTGTGGAAACTGAACATTTCCAGAACAGTTTAAGTATTGTATTAGAGCACAAAGGAAGAGATGTGTGGAACAAGGGATAAATTACGGATTTTGACCACTAGACAGTGAAAGCAGACTACCTCATTGAGCTGATGGGTGGTCCTATTGAAGGTCTTCTAATTAGAAGTCTATACCAATAGACTATACCTAGACTGGCTATCTATGATCTTCAGACCTGCACTTTGTGTTAGAGATTTGCACCACATTAACAAAAAATTACCAGCTTGCAATCTAAATATTGAGTTGAACACAAAGTGATGATTCTCAACTGATGAAAGACTGAGAGAACTGCCAAGCAAGACTGAACACTGAAATAAATGTCTAAAAAGGTATTTCTTTTTAGAAATATCTTCCCACCTGGGAAAATGGTAGCCACAGTGAGAATTGTTTCCAGCATTTTATTGTCTAAGACTAGAAGTAGATGCATTTCCATTCAAGAGACATTTCTTGATTATCCACTATGAAACAAGGGATTCAAAATAAAATGAAACATTCTCTGCACCAGAAGTTTAGGAGTTCTGGACTGGGCCTGGAGGCATGGTGAGTTTCTTTATCAAATTACTTATCAAGCTAGGTCAAGACCCCACTGAAACGCAAGTATGCTACTATCCTAGATTCCAGAATTACCAAGCCACCACTCATTAAAGCAGAGGTGTCAGTTCCTAAACTGGGAAAGTGTTAATTTCATTGGCTCATGCCCTAGATTGGCCTGGGGACTTGGGACCTGAGAACCGTACTTCCCTCTGGTTTAGAGGTCCTCTTCTAACTTGTCTCTAATCCCTGGAGATGACAAGGGAAGGACATTTGCACTCCACTTCTCCAGACTTTGTGTTTGTCCTTCTCTACTGTAAGCATGATCCTATGTCTTTCTCCCTTGTGGTGCCTATTATCACCATCCCTGGGACTGCTTTTTTTCCCCTCTGATCCATTTTTGGCTTGCTGTGTTTCTGCGGTCTCCAGTTCTTACCCTGACTTTGCAAAACAATTCCAGGACCAGGACTTCCAAGGTATCAGCCAGTGGTGAACTTTATTGAGTTTTACTGAGCAGGGAATAAAGCTGGTGAGAAATGGAGGTGGTGGGAAGGAGAGAGGGAGGTGGGGAAAGAGTGGGCTCTAGGAAATAGGAAAGGCCAAGATTAGAACTTTGAATAAAATTCTATTTAATAGAGATGACATTTATGGTAAGAGTATGACATGAAAAAGAATTATCTATTAGAAGTTTAATTCTGAGTCCCTCTCCCATTGCTTTCCCCAAAATGTTTCTAGATTTTTCTGAAAAGCAAAAGTGTTAAGTGCTAAGGATATTAAAAATAACAAAAAACAAAAAAAACATTTAAAGAGAATAAATGGTCATGATAGACTTAGGAATGGTTATAACCAACTGGGGCCCACCATTTGGAAATTAAAATTTGATATGCCACCTCAGGGGCTTCCCTGGTAGCTCAGCTGATAAAGAATCTGCTTGCAATGCAGGAAACCCCAGTTCAATTTCTGAGTCAGGAAGTTCCCCTGAAGAAGGGATAGACTACCCTCTCCAGTATTCTTGGGCTTCCTTGATGGCTTAGATGGTAAAGAATCTGCCTGCAATGCAGAAGACCTGTGTTCGATCCCTGGGTTAGGAAGATCCCCTGGAGGAGGGCATGGCAACCCACTACAGTAGTCTTGCATGGAGAATCCCCATGGGACAGAGGAGCCTGACAGGCAATAGTCCATGGGGTCGCAAAGAGTTGGACGTGATTGAGAGACTAAACACAGCACAGAACGCCACCTGAGAGACTTGGGTTATTTTGTGTAAACATGGGTTTGTATTTGTGAATGCATTTTTGAATGTGTCCTGTTTGGGGGGATGACAGAGCAAGCACTAAGATATCCACCTGTCTTACACACCATGGAGGGGCACAAACAAATACGTAATGCAGGTGAACGGTTACTTTCTGAAATGGGTCTTACAACAGTCCTTCTGTGACCCATGGACCAACCATGAACTTCCTCTTTCTCAAAAGGGGCAGAAAGGAGATCT